ACTTACAGTACACGTGATGTTATGCCTAGATTGTATGCGAGTACTATGCCATTTTATATAGGAGACTTGAGCATCTGAGTATTTTGGTATCCACTAGAGGTCTTAGAGTCAATCCACCATGGATACTAAAGAAGAACTCTACCCATCAAATAATTCATCCAGCACTAAGTACATAGGTATACTAAGCACATAGGTGTCATTTTTGCTTTTCTTGAGAAAATGGATGTTTAAAGAGGTCAGGGTCAAATTATCAGGGAATCACATGGCTGGAATAGGAATTCTGACAATCTGACTTAAGCATATAATTAAGGATGTGTTAGGCTGCTTCTCTCTATAGTAGTTCAAGATTATCTAATTAATTGAGTTTACTTTCTTAGAGCCTAGGCGGGTAATGTACATAGTCCTTCCTTATTTGAGGGAAGTATGTTCCAAGATTCCAAGGGAACCTGAAACCATTCCTGAAGTGATAGGTCATACCAAACCCAGTGTATCCTGGGATTTGTCCTAAATGCCTTGCTATGTTGCCACATAGTACCAGAGTTAATCTGTCCTTCCATGTCATGCCCTGGTACTTCCTATGTGTCCCACTGGGTTGTTATTATGCAAAACAAAGTTATCTGAACGCAAATACAAGCACTCTAATATTTATAGTTGATCTGATATTTCATTCAGCCAAAGGGAGGGAGTTTGGGGGTGGGCTGGTAACATGTACAGTTAGTATATGCTGAAAAAGTAATGATTCATCCCTGGCAAGTTGGAGTACTGCTGAAGATTTCAATACACTACTCAGAAGGTCACACAACTGAAAAACTGAATTATTTCTGGAATCCTTCATTTAGTATTTTCAGACCCTGATTGACTTTGGAATATTGAAACTTGGAAGGGTAACCCACAGAAAAGAGATTGGGGATGGCCTGCTGTATTTCAGTAGCTCTAAATTCTGTAGGTTGAGAGTGTTAGTAAACTAATTTTAAATACTGACAATTGTCTTATTAAATGGTAAGGTTCTTTTGTGTGTTTCAAATATTGTCTTTTATATAAGTGTTTCTTATAAAATATGTTTTGAATTTATATTACTCTAGAAAAATAGGCAGTAAATTTAAATGATTTTTCCATTTTAGGGTGCTAAAGGTCTGCTTTAAATGGGTATTTTTATTTCCAGTTGAATGAATACTTGATTCCATTTTTGCATTTATATATGTATTTCACTCAGTTTAGTAGTACATAAGATAGCTCTTTGTTACTCAGAATTGAACCTAAAGCACTCTACCACTGAGCTACCTCCCCAGCCCTTTTTATTTTGAGATATCCCCACTAAGTCACCCAGCTGGTCGTAGACTTTCAATCCTCCTTCCTCAGTCAGGAGTTGTTAGGATTGATTATAGGTGTGCATCACTGAACTCAGGGAGATAGTTTTTTAAATACTATATTTATTAACCTCTCTATGGTATACGTTCACCATAAAGAATTTGACTTGAGCACATTTAAAACAAACCAAGAGGCAAAAATCAAACTTATTTAGGTTATCAGTTTGCAACCACAGGTTTAAAGCAAGAATGGTTTTAAACAGTTAGCCAAATTTAGGATATAGTATTTTTCTTTTTTAGTTGCTTTTCTATGAGGCTAGACAAAAGATAGGTCAGGTCCTTTGTGATCTTTTTCCAGCATGAAAAAATTTAGGAAGTAATTATGAAGAAAATAAATTGAATTTCTTACATGAAGATCTCCAGTTTTTGTTTTAACATCATTAAATTTGACAAAGTTTATGTTTCACGAAATTTGTAACATCAGTAGTGCTTTTTATTGCTGTCCTTTTATTTACATTTTTAAAATTCAGAGTATGATGAACCTAACATTAGAAACTCTAGAGTGACTGAACAGGTTATATAGTATTCCTGGTTTTTTGCTCATGTGTTTATTTTCCTCACAGTTGTGATTCTTCGGAAAATATCTTGAAAAGTTGGCTTTATAAGTTGTATCATTAAAAATATAGGAAAGAGGCATATATGTGGAAATTGTTTTATATAGTGTATATACAAATGATTGGCCACTTATATCTGGTATAATATATCAATTATTTGTTTTTAAAAGGTGCCAAAGTCCTTAAAATTTATAGTGTTGATATTTTAGGTAATTTAGTTTACATCTCCTGCATCTTGTCTTTTGCTTTCCTGCAACTCTTTCTGTCAGTGATTCTAACAACTAAAAATTGTAATTATAATATTTTACATATTTAAACAACTTTGGCAAATATGCAAAGTAATACGTGCTTTGATTACGTAGTATGCTTCACATTAAGCTAATGCAAACTGTAGTTATGAATAATGTAGTTCATGAAGTCTGTTGGCATTAGTATAACAATTTTTTCCCTGTAATCATTTTGAGCATGCCATTTTCATTGAACTTTAAGCTGTTATGTGTGGTAAGGCACTGTTAACTTTGTATGCTCCCAAGAAAGGAAAAGAAACATACATAACACATAGTCCAAAATACTGTACAGTTAAAGCTGAAACAAACATCAAAGGGCTAGACCCTCCCTGTGAAGCAAGAAAATACACCTACATGCAAAAAGGGACAGCAAAGAAATCTGAATATCTCAACTTTGGTTATTGGGGAGATGGAAGGACAAATAATTTCCGAGTATTTAAACTACAAGATAGTCTCATAAGCTTGCAGCCTGCATTTCCATTTTTACTGTCATGTTGAAAAAGGAATAGATAACTTAGAAAAATTAATAATCTATCATGGTGCTGCCAAGTAACTAGCATAAGTCAACACAAATTCTCTGAAAGAAATCAACTTGTAAAACAGGAATTATAAAGTTTACTTTTATATTTTGGGTATCTTAGAGTTAGTAGACATGGGAATCATTATAACATCTCCAAAAACTCGATTTCTTCAGGCTTTGGTAAACAGACCTTTCTATCAAGCCTTTGTGACAGCTCTAAATTTATCAAATTCTTGTGAATTTTCATATGAAATATAATATTTTGTGTACTAAGATTTTTGTTTTTTCATGGTCACAAATCACAATCTTAAAATTAATGACATATTTACTTGTAAAAGTAAATAGTGGGATATAATTTAAGAATCTTACTATTAAGCTTATAAGTTTGTCAGGTAAGCTTAACTAGTCTCTGCCTCCCAAAATGTTCAGAGATTTCTGAGGAGGAAGAATGTAGCTTTTTATTCAACTCTAAGGGAAATTCTTTTAGGTGTTTTAAAGTTTTAGGCATGAGAAGGAAAGCACTGAAAATATTACTGTCAAGTTCCTTAATGTTTTTAAATATAATGTGCTGTAATTTTTCTGCTCTGATAAACTCTTGTGATAAGTAGGATTTTTGTGGCTTTGTCTTTTGAATGGGATTTGATCTTTGTGTTATGAAGTCAGAATGTTGCAGTTTGAAGTTACATTCATTTATATGATCTACTGCTTCCATGGGAAATGTTTTATTGCACGGGGGAGATATTTTTACCGTACTTTTTAAATCACTTTCATTCTTAGGAGAAATTACTGTTTTTCTCTTAAGTTTTCATACTTGGATTTTTGGAAATTGGTGTAGAATTTTAATTTTGGATATGGTACTAGATTTGATTTTGTATATAGGCCATTTTATGTAGTAGGCTGTTTCTTTACTGCTCACCATGCTTCTGGATTGCTTTGCGAATAACCAGTTGCCTAATTTGATTTTCTTTGCATCAATCTAAAGCAAAATTGTAAGAGGAAATGTTTGTTGGGAGGGTGTGGACTGGAAGCAATCCTAGTTCTTTCTCATTTGCTGTTTTTTCCCCCCATTAAAGTGTACATTATTTCTCTAATCTCTTAATCTGGTTATGAAGACTTGTGAGTTGTGGGGTTTTCAAATCCTGTGGTGTTTTGTTTGTTTGTTTTAAATACTATTTTGACTATATATTCCCAAGTAGGCCAATATGTTGTTCTAGTCACGATTTTTTTCTGGACATTCTAGTTTAATGATAGCTTAAAAATTTATTTGTTGTTTCTTTGTCCATTATTTCCATGCTAGTTCATTTTATTGGGTACATTAGTCATCTTTGCTTCATAAGTTGACTTTCACAAGTAATAAAATTCAATGTGTGATTATTCTCCAACTTTAGTGGGCTTTAATATATATGTTTCTTTTGAATGTATACATATAATATATATGTGCAAAAGGAACATATATATTAAAGCCTACTATATGCTTATGCTTTTCTGTTGTTCCTATTTCTCAGGTTGCTCATTTAATTTGAAATTTGAATAGACAGTTCTAATGCCTGTGACTATCATGTAATTTTTATCCCTCTCCTGGTTTCCTTAAGTCCTTTTGAAATTCTTATTAAAATCAAAATTGTAATGTGGGATTATACTAATAGAGATGAGCATTGGGTCAAATGCTTTAGAAAGTTATGTTAATCTTCATGATTTTTTATTCATAAGAAATAGAGAAGATTAAAATTCTCATGGTAGTATTTGTACACTAGATTGAGCTCTCCAACTAATATCTTCAAGTATAAAGTATGTAGTTTTCTGTACCACAGAAAAATTTGTTTTTTATGTTTTTTTTAAGTAATTGCTTAGATGTTAAGCACCTTTGATCTAGTATTTTGAAAAGGACCAGATATCTTGCCATGAAATTCTTCAATACAGATACTAAAAATCGGCGGTGAAAAATTTTTATCTTAGACTCTCTTATTCCAAGGAAGAAAGAAAAACTTAAACTTATTGAGGAAATTAATATTCTAAAATTTAAATTAGAAATAGAATAGGAGTTCATACTTTGAAATTTACTTGTGAAAATAATTTTGACTGTACATATAAGTTACCACATGAGCATTGAAATAAATCGTTGATAAAGTAATTCATTCATTCAACAAGCACTTACTAAGCATTCTGTGCATTTAGTGTAGTTTCAGTAGTTTTTATTCCTAAATAATACACTGTTTAAAGTCACATTAAGTGTTTTGTTTTTTTATAGTAACCTTTTTTACTTTTATTTTAGATGCCTGGAATGATGTCTTCAGTAATGCCAGGAATGATGATGTCTCATATGTCTCAGGCTTCCATGCAACCTGCCTTACCGGTAATCTTATGAGAACAACTAATTTCTGTGATGTTTTGATTGAATATTTTTATGTATGAAATTATACATATGTATTTATAGGCGATCTTTTTAGCCTTTTAGTGTCTCCGGAGTACTAAAATGTAATCTAGGAATTACAGTGGATTTTTAGTACATATATTGATGCTATGATATATGTACATCCTTAGTTACTAAATTCTGTATTGATTAAGAACAGAATACTGAAAAGCATCATTTGTAAATCAGAAGTATTTAAGTACTCTGGTAGACATTGACTTTACTAAGCATTTTTAAGGAATAAACATTTACAAAATGCTAATAAAAATTGATACAATCAATTTCTACTATATTTAGAAATTAAAATATTTCATTTGACATCCACATTTCATGGAGGATTCAGTTGTGGCAAGTCACTTTTGAAAATCCATAAACAGCCAGGCATGGTGGCGCACGCCTGTGATCCTATCGGCTTGGGAGGCTGAGATAGGAGAATTGCAAGTTCAAAGCCAGCCTCAGCAACTGTGAGGCATTAAGCAACTCAGTGAGAACCTGTCTCTAAATAAACTACAAAATAGGGCTGGTCAAGTGCCCCTGAGTACAATCCCTGATAGCAAAAAAAAAGAAAAAAGAAAATTCTTCAACAGCCTTACTTAGTACCCCTACTGGGTAGTATAATATATAGATGACTATGAAATTCAAATTAGTTTATAACTTTTTCATTTCCTAATAATGTAGTAGTTGTAATGAATATGAATAGCCTACTCCCTTCACGCTACGTGTATTTCAGAATTTCAGGAAATTGAAATTGAAAAAGTAACATATTGTACATACAGTATGTTATATAAAAATTTCGTGTGGAATCTAGAGCAGTGCTCTGTAATTTCTAACTAACATTAGAAATTCTAGAGTAAAACTTCCACATATTCACTCTGAGGTGGGATAAATAAGGAATGTAAAGGGTTTCATGTTTGATCAGTAGCAGGTTTAGCCACTATAAGGGGTTTTATTGCCATTGTGGCTTGAGAATAATGCATAGTGATGATTCACTGTGCTTCATGTATAATTTATAAAATATTGTTTCAATGAGGTAAATATTAGTAATTTCATTTTTCTTCTTACAGCCAGGAGTAAATAGTATGGATGTAGCTGCAGGTATGTATACTATGTATGGGGAACTTCATTTGGAGAGGAGCAGCCGTATTACAATGAGAAATAAAAGCAGTTACTTTCTATGATCAGGAAATTATCAGTTTTAAGATAGGAATTCTGGACCAGGTTTATCGGATAAATAGGCTTTAGCCCCCACGTTTTTAAATTTTATAATTTTTGCTGACATCTGAAGTTTAGATTTTATATAAAGATTGAATTTATCTTGAAACATTGGATAGTCTGAATTTCAGTACTCAAAAACAGTCCTATCAGTCCTGTTAACATAGTAAGTGTGGTCAGAGAATATTTGTAGAATGAATTCATTTGTAGAATGAAAGACCTCTGGTGGAGTCTATGTTTGTACTCAGCAAATTTGGGAATGGGTTAGCAGCTATACAAATAAAATATGGACCGCCCACTCTCCTCTAGCTTCTGGGCTACTTCACAGTTATTTTTCTGCTTGTCTTTATAGTCATTGGAATTTGGAAGCCCTGTCATAATTTTCTTTCTTTCCTTTTTTTGTCTGTAAGCAGCATCTGGTCATTTTGATATATAAGGCTGTTAACATATCTTAGTAATTTTTTTTACTAATAGGTCATTTTCCACAGAAGTTATTATGCCACATACTGACTTTATCCCATGAATATATAAAAATATTTTTTATTTTAAATGTTATTGGTTTAAACATTTAACATATACTGTGTGCTTTACTTCAAGCTTAGTATTAGTCATAATTGATTGATCTATCAAAAATGTTTGAAGGCTGGAGTTGTAGTCCAGTTGTAGAGTGCTCATCTAGTATACGTAAGGCACTGGGTTTGATCCTTAGCACCATACAAAAATAAATAAATAAAATAAAGTCATCGTGGCCAACTACAATTAAAGAAAAGTATTTTTAAAAAAATGTTCAAAAAATGTCATTTACTTAAACTAAAAATGTTTTAAAATACCTTTAAGGTCCTACTTAATTATATAGAGATGGATACCATTACCCTAAGTAATCCTGAGAAATTACATTAAAATTTCTTTCTAATTATTGTTACTATGCTTTGGTTCTGCCATTGATGTCCATAGTTACATCTTTTGATTTTTCCTAGTATGTATGTTTGCTTCCTTATTACATATAGTTTTAAGTTAATTTCTGTCTAAAGTTAGAGATTATTGTGTGAGCTTTGCATATACCATGCATTTCAAAATCCATTAACATCTTAAGGTTACTAAGCATTTAATTGAATGATAGAAATATTTTGTATTTTATACTGTCAAATAACGGTAGCCAGAAGCCACATATAATTAATGAATATTTGACATGTGGCTACGATATTTGAGGAGCCAACTTTTTAAATTTTTTAAAATTTAATCGGAGTTTTAATTTAAACAGGAATGTGTGATGCGTGACAGGTGCTGTATTGTATAGCACAAGTGTAGAATCAAAGTAGTTGACACAACCAGAAATCTGAAGCCTAGGATTAGAGGATGGGGCATTTTTGTACTTTGGTAATATACATAGCAAAGGAATAGGAATAGATACATGCAATAGCAAGAAAAGGAGCAAAAAGTCAAGATCTATACTTCTCATACTGGCCCTAAGTGAGTTTGGAAATTGAAAGTTCAAGTTTTGAAAATATTTTATACTACCAGAGTAGCTTGTGGGCAAGAGAGTTAAGCACATCAGTCATGTGGGACAGATATGCCATCTTTAGTGCAAGAATATGGAGGAAAAATATAAATAGATATTGAAAGTTAAACATGATTTTTCACAGTAAATATTTTGTTTTTTGTTTTTTTTTAGGCACAGCATCTGGTGCAGTAAGTACTATTTACGCATGTATTATATAATATTTTTTAGGCTACTATATTGATCATTATTTCTATTCTAAAGATCATCTGCTATATATCAATTCTTAATTTTCTAGGCCAAAGGTTAATAAACTTTTATTTTAAAAATCTAATTTTGGGGGCCGGAGTTGTGGCTCAGTGGTAGAGCACTTGCCTCGCATGTGTGAGGCACTGAGTTGGATCCCTGGTACCACATAAAAATAAACATAAAATTAAAGGTATTGTGTCCATCTACAACTAAAAAAACAACAAAAAAAAATTTAATGTAATTTTGATGGAACATTTTAGAGAAATCATTTCATTGTTTTGTGTGGCTATAACAAAATAATGAAACTGGTGACTTTAAAAAGGAAAGAAATTGATATAGTTTTAGAAGCTGAAAGTCCAGGATCAAGTCACCAAAATCTATTCAGATCTGATGAGAGCCTTTTGAATATTTCACAAATGACAGGAGTATTCACATAGAGAAAGTACATTGAGAATAGTATGTGATAGGTGTGAAGATGATCACATGATAAGAGAAAGTGAAAGAAATGAAGCTGAAGGCTAAATCTCTTTATAACAGTCCACTCAAAGTTACAGATTCAGTCTCCAAGAGCAAGAACTTACACCATGGAGAAAAAGCATTAATTCTTAAGAAACTAATCACCTCTTAGAGGAGCCACCTCCTAACATTGCCATATTAGGAACCAAGCCTCAGCATGAATTTTAGTGACAAGAAACCATAAATTCAATCCATAGCAAATAAGAATCACATATATGTGCTTGCTTCGGTAGCACATATACTAAAATTGGAAGAATACAGAGAAGATTAGCATGGCCCTGCACAAGGATGACACGCAAATTCGTGTAGCAGTCCTTATTTTTTCTAAATGCATTTTGCTGTCATGTATAACTAAAAAGAATTGTGTTAAATTTTTACATGGGTTTTAATTCTCTGCACAATAACCTTGTAATTTTCAAGTAAGCATTACATTAGAAGGCACTTTTTTTTACATAGAAATTTTTATTTAACTTTGCTTTTTACTATAAACCTAATATAGACTTTTTCTTTTATTTAACGTATTTTTTTTCAAAAGTCGACTTATCTAATATAATCGTCACTCTGCCTTTATCAGGGATTTTTTTTTCTTTTGCTATTCAAAGAGATAATCAAAGGAAGAATTTATGTAAATAATAATATTTAATCATAACAATACTGAGAGGTACCTGTTATACCACAGTTCATTTTTTTGTTTTGTGTTTAGTTGGTTGGTTGTATGGAGTGTTTGTGGTATCCAACCCAGGGCTTCCTGTATGCTAGGCACTGAGCTCTATATGCCCCATTTCATCCCCACATCTATGAGGAAATTCGGAAAGCTTTAAATCTATTGCAAATATATTTTACATTTTATGGGGAAATTTTGAAAACCTTATTTAAATATTTTTTAAACATTCTTGAATCTTATAAATACCTATTTTAATAATTTTCAGAAAAAAAATAGTATCATCTTTTTCCTACTTATTTAAATAACATGGTTTACTGGAGAAAAAAAAAGCACTCATGTAAGTTATGTAAAGTTCACTCTGAATATATCCACCAAGACAGAACCACCACAATTAATATTTTATTCACAATCTTTTTGTACATATTATGGAACATAATGAAATACATGTCTGTGTAAGCATATATAATTTTATATTTGGTATTTTTTTTAATTGTAAATAAATTTTTGTGTTTTATTTTTGTTTCACAGTTAATTGTGAAATTCTGTGTGAATCCTCTCATATAGATGTAATTGTTTGAATTACTTTATAAAGTATATTTCGACCCAGGCATGTTTGAGCCCAGTCTCAGTAACTTAGCGAGGCCCCCCTAAACAATTTAGTGAGACCCTGTCTCAAAATAAAAAAAGCTGAGGATGTGCCTAAGTGTTAAATTACCCCCTGTGTTAAATCCCTAGTACCCCCCCCCCAATTTTTTAAAAAAGTGTTCTTTGGCATAGATAATACATTAATTTATTTGACCATTCACCTATTGATGGACAGTTTTGTCCTGAAGTGTCCCCCCCCGCCCCCCGCAAACACACAAAATTTATTTCTTCACACTAAGAAAGATTGCAGGAATGACGTTTTTCGGATAAAGAGTATGTAACTAGTCATGTTGTTTTTCAAGAAAAATTTAAATTGCACATTTCTAATAGTTTACTAGCATGTCCTTTTCTCCATGAATCCCTCATAGCAGTAATCATTATCAATCATTTGAATTTTGGTAATGGATATAAAGTAATAGTTCTTATTTGATTCCTTAATGAGATTGAACATTTTATTTGCTCTTTGGGTTTCTCTTCTGTTAACCTGTCCCCATCCTTTCCTGTTTTTCTCTTATGTATATTTTATATATGTGTATATTTATACATATATATTATATATGTATACTCATATACATATATATATATTATTTGTTTAAAATATTTTTTAGTTCTAGATGGGCACCTTTTTTTTTATTCATTTTATGTGATGCCCAGGATCGAACCCAGAACATCACGTGTGCAAGGCAAGCACTCTACCACTGAGCCACAACCCCACCCCTCTCTAGGTTATATTTTATTTTATCATTCATAATTTCCTATATTTTCTGGAAGGTTTTTATTGCTTATTATTTTACTATTGAAGTATTTGTTTGAGTCTTCTGAAATGTTTATAAGGTAGTCAGTTGTCTATTAGACTTTGTTTGAAATCTTTTTTGTTATATATTCTCTCATATTTTGACATCTGTCTCTGGGTTTCTTTTCCACTGTCTCTTTCTCTTTGTGTTTTTCTAATCTAATATTATGCTTTCTCACAATGACTTAATTTTTGTTTTTAATCAGGAAAGTTTTTGTGTTTTTAAATTGTTTTCTTACATATTTTCAGATAGTAGCATATGAATTCTCCTATATTCCTATAAGTACATATATGCATACATTCTCAAAATATTTGATGTCTTCACCTGAGATATTAATTAATTTCAATTTTGAAAAGAATTGATGTTTATGTACTTTTTAATAAAAACTTATTAGCCAAAAATATTTTGAATTTATTTAAATATTTGCTTTTATTTGCCTTACTCTCTTTAAATTCTAGTGCAAATTTGAGTCATATTTCATATATGCTTATTGTCATTTTTCTGTGAAAGGTCTCTTATCCCTCCTTATTCTTCATCTTCATTCCCATCTGCCTTCCCCATGGGTGCTTATTTAGGTTATTTGTCCAGAGACATTTGTGTATTGGAATTTATTGTATTGAGTCATTTCATCACATTCATAATAATCGGGTCTTCTTTTTTATTATTTATAATAGAGGTTTAAATTTTTCTTCCCAAAATTTTGTGCTTTTTTTATTCTGTTAGTTTATAGATATTGTACAGGACTAGGTGCCATTTTGAATCTTTTTTTATTGTGCTTATCCATTGATCATTTTTTAACATTGATCTTATATCTATAAAGTTTCCTGAAATCTTATTATTTTGTAGGTCACTGTAGCTCTTCAATATATAACCTTTATTAATCTGAATTTCCTTCTATTCCTGGCTTCTTGATAGAGTTTAATATATCCTTCCTTTCAAAATCTTCTAATGCTTTTTTATGTCAACCAAGATGTCATATGATACTTCTCCCCTAGTATCTTATTGTTAAGTATACATATAAATTTCCAAACTTTAATGCATCTTTACATTATTAAGGTAAACCCTACTTACCCATATGCGTTCTCTAGGGTATGTCTGTGTGCACACTTGTATATTTAACTCCTTCTGAATTCACTTTGTTAATATCTTAAATAGATTCTTACTGACTAGGCATAATCCCTCTTTTTGTCCTTCGAACAATTTGTATAAATGAGGCATGACTTATTTTCTTAATAGATTGCTAAAACATTTTTTTGTGTGTGTGTGTGGTGTTGGGGATTGAACCCAGGGTCTTGTGCATGTGAGGCAAACAGTCTTCCAACTGAGGTGTATCCCCAGCCCAGCTTATGAGAACTTTTACAAGTAAAAACTTACTGGATCTAATACTTTTAAGGATAGAGATTGTGAATTACCATTTTAATTCAGTGATTACTGGTCTTTGTTTTCTGTTCTAATATTCACAAATTAATTTTATTGAGGCTTACAAATTTATCATAACCTTATTTTTTTGTTTTATTTTATTTTTTTGAGGGTAGCTGTCCAATTCATTTGTGCTCTTGTGTTAGTAAGTTTTACATGTCTGTAACAAAATACCCAACAAGAGTAACTTACAGAAGGAAAAGTTTTTTTTGGCTCAGTTATATAGGTTCAGACCATGGTGGGTAGAATGCTTTTCACTGGATCCTAGGTGAGGCAAGACATCATGGTAGTGGAAGAGAGCTACTCCACTCCTGGTGGCCAAGAAGCAGAGAGAGAAGGAAGTTCCATGGGGACAAGAGAATTCCCACCACCTTCAGGCCAGGGCCCCAGTGCCTCCTACATACATGTACCACCATCCTAGCCATCACCTAGCATAGAGGTCCCTTCTAATTAGGATGGACTGACTAGGTTATACCTCTTGTCATCATCAAATCATTTCACCTCCTGCATCAGTAAAGGAGCTTTTGGGAGCTTTGGAGAGATAATTCACACCCAAAAGTAATTGCTGTCTTATTTATTTCATTCTTAGCTACTATGTTGCTCTTTTTCTAGCTTCTGGAATGCTTAGATCACTGGTTTGCAGATACTTTTTTTGTAGTTTTGGTTTTATTACGAATTTGTGTTGCATAAGTTTTGACCTATATTGCAGTGTCTTAACTAGATTTCAATTAAATTTTATATAAACACATCCACACACTCTTAAGTCAGGAGAAGTTCCTCTCCTTCCTAATTGCCATACTAAAATAATAGTAATTTGCAGATGAAGATATTAATGAAAGTGCTTTTAGTGTAATATTTGTTTTTAATAAATTGCCTTTATCTCTTAAAATTTATTTTATCATTT